CAGTTCCTATAGTTCAGCATTGTCGTCTACAGGAGGTCAAACATGCGGTCCTTAGAGATCAGCATCGTCGTCTACAGGAGGTCAGACTTGCAGTCCTTAGAGATCAGCATCGTCGTCTACAGGAGGTCAGACTTGCAGTCCACAGAGATCAGTATCTTCGTCTACAGGAGGTCAGATTAAAAGTCCTTAGAGATGAGCATCGTCGTCTACAGGAGGTCAAACTTGCAGTTCTTAGGGACTTGCAGTCCATAGACATCACTCTCGTCTACAGTAGGTCAGATTTAAAGTCCTTAGAGATGAGCATCGTCGTCTACAGGAGTTCAAACTTGCAGTTCTTATGGATCAGTATCGTCGTCTACAGGAGGTCAGACTTGCAGTCCATAGACATCACTCTCGTCTACAGGAGGTCAGACTTGCAGTCCTTAGAGATCAGCATCGTCGTTTACAGTAGGTCAAACTTGCAGTCCTTAGAGATCAGCATCGTCGTTTACAGTAGGTCAAACTTGCAGTCCTTAGAGATCAGCATTGTCGTCTATAGGAAGTCAAACTTGCAGTCCTTAGATTTCAGCATTGTCGTCTACAAGAGGTCAAACTTGCAGTCCTTAGATTTCAGCATTGTCGTCTACAAGAGGTCAGACTTGCAGTCCTTAGAGATCAGCATCATCGTTTACATGAGGTGAGACTTGCAGTCCCGATATATCGCCATCGTCTACGGATGGTCAGACTTTCAATCCATAGGCATCACTCTCGTCTACGGGAGGTCAAACTTGCAGTCCCTAGAGATCACAACATCGTCTACACGAGGTACGACTTGCAGTCCTTAGAGATCGGCATCATCGTCTACGGGAGGTCAAACTTGCAGTCCCTAGAGATCACAATCGTCTACACGAGGTACGACTTGCAGTCCTTAGAGATCGGCATCATCGTCTACGGGAGGTCAAACTTGCAGTCCCTAGAGATCACCATCGCCTACACGAGGTACGACTTGCAGTCCTTAGAGATCGGCATCATCGTCTACGGGAGGTCAAACTTGCAGTCCCTAGAGATCACCATCGCCTACACGAGGTACGACTTCACAGTCGTCTACATGAGGTAGGAGTTCCTACTAGTTCATCACCATCCTCCTTAGAACCTTAGAGTCAGAGTCAGCTAACCTACCATCGTGTATTCGGCACCCGAATTCTCCCTGATGTTTGTCAGGAACATATCCAGGTTTGAAGACTTACTAGTGTGGATTCTGAACTCAGTACTGTGTCGACATTCCTGTAGACGATGCTGCTGAACGTAGTAAGTGCGGTATTCAGATACAAGGTGTTGCCCAGCTTGCCGCTCAGCAATATGTAGACAAGAACAGATCGCCTTGGAGTATCTACGGTCCATTAAAACTGTGATATAGTGGGCTGACTGTGAAAAACAATACAAGCTCGCACACACCAGCATGCATGCACACACACACACATATATATATATATATATATATATATATATATATATATATATATATATGTGTATATATATAGTTAAGTAAACAGGGCTTCAACTTATGTCGTAAAACAATGACTTCAACACATTTACCTTAAAATTTGCGCAACTCTTGTTTGCTCCTCCAGACAATCGCCATAGAAACCTCACGCAGAATTACATGACCAGCCAGGACTGCGTGTGTTGACACTAAACATGCACTCCATTGGGAACAACCGCCATGTTATTTGTGCAGTAAAAGATTCAATGGTCTAAAAACTGCCAATGTCACCATAAATAGATCAACTGCTCTAAATAGGCTCTGCCGCTTTACTACCCGCGGGGGATTTGTTATTTAGGGTCGTTGGAGCCTCGTTGGAGCCTGGATTCAATATTCTTTGGCCCGGCGAGCTACTGACACTCAGCCAATATCAGAAAATAATTATAGTGTATATAGCGTCCAGGCACGCCTTTGCCATTAGAATGAAATATAGCACATTGATGCCCAGAGTAAGTGTTGCTCAGTATACCAAACCTTATGTGTACAATTAAATCACGTATCGTCCTACAATATGCAGCGATAGTTGCCCCAAATCTCAAACAAACACACCTGTGTGATTGCGGGAATTTCGTTGACTATATTACATGTTCAGAAAGGTGGAATGTGTCTTGGAGAGGAGGATATTCCTTCAGCACGTGGAACTGTTAAGTAACACAGGCACCTTCAACACTAGATCTACAATGTGGTAACTGACATGTGTATCGTCCCTCATATCAACAAAACACACACAAATGCCAACCCTTCCTCCCCCCCCCCCTCAAAAAAAGGGCGCACCATTGATTTAGAACAATAAGTTACACTGTATACATGACTGTACGGCAGAAGTTTATATTTGCTTGTTTAACACTGCTTATTTCACTGTGAAAAACATATCAAATTTAAGCATCGAGAAATATTCACATGGATCAATCTTTGAACGACAATTCTTTATGCGACTGGACGGAAATTCAAGTACATGACATTGCATTTGTAAAGAGAAGTACATGTTTGTCACTGTTTAAGATACATGTAATGTTCTTCGTGGCTTTTAAGTGCTCTGTCGACAATATTTGGCAGGCATTTAAAGTGTGAGGAGACTATTTGAATGTGTATGCATTACTGATGATATCCGTGACACCTGTCTCGGCCTATATGACCTTTTTACCAGTTCTGTTCTCGTTTCAGCGTTCTGCTGCATTTAATGTCTCGGAGAATCACCATCAAACACCTGTGAAATGTCTAAACTTCACCAATCATACGATGGTTGAACAGATTTGTGTTAAGCGTCGGATGAAAATCGAAGCTCGTCTCAACTCCAACATTAGTTAACTATAATTATTTCTGTCATTGACTTCCAGTAATCACATTATCACACGCTGTGTAATTATAAAACAGTCTAGCGCAAATAACCCTTGTTTGCCTCGTTGAACTAGAACCGTTTACATTGGCACTTTCACTGTTTCTTAATGTACACGTAGCTCCATAGCATAACCAGAATATCAGTTTGTAAAACGTAGCCTAAATTCCTAGAAAAGTGACTTTAACTTCAAAATACGTAGAACGATTTTCTTGTCTGTGTAGAGTGAGTGAGTGATTTATGTTATGCCAAATGTATCTGGTCCTGGGAAAGGCGACCCGATGGCACATAGTAATAATAATGATCAACGTTATCAGCTACAATCCTTACTACACACACCCCTCTTGTACCTGGTGTAGACTCCCCCCCTTCCGGGATTCTTGCGGGTCGTTAAATAGGAAGTATACGTGGCCATTCAGACGCTGACACGAATCAGCAACTTCAACGACATATTAAGATTATCGATTTCCCTCGAGTTGATGGACGTTGCTCTGTCACAAAAACATCACACTGTTATTTCTGTAAATAATTTTCAGATATTGCATGAATGTCAATATTTCGAAGGATTAAGATCTGTTGTGGATATTGAATGACAGGACGAGTCTTCCCAAATCACCATAGTCCCAGCATGTGATGAGCCAATAAACTGTCTTCAAACACGATCACGTTAGGACTACGCCCCAGCCAGCAACACAAACGCTAAACATGGCAAACACTTTGACCCCTGTTTGTAGAATGTCAATATAACATGACGTTTTGTGAGTGAAGATGGCTAAGGCTGGTTAATGTCGATAGCGGGAGACTGACAAGGTTTCAGCAAACCTTGCCGAACCACTACTGCTTGTAATGTTTAATGTTCCTCGCCAGATCTGACAAGGTTACATGTTGATGCCATCTAAACCGTGTTAGTGAAGCAAAGCCCATCAAAGACATTCTGTAAAGTCGTTTCTGGCTTTGATGAGAGAGCTTCACCTCGGATGTCAAGTATAGTGTTTGTGCCCAGTCTCATTTATTGGGAGGAACGACAGATTATTATATATTTTTTCAATACAAAATGGACACGTCAGCTTTTTTGACACTTTGATCGGAGTATGTACCGATCGTTTACGAGATACGGCCGTGTAACTCGTAAAGGGGCGCTTGGAGACCCCTGATCCGAGTAATGGATGTCGTAATCAGTCTGTCAAAGTTGTGGCATTATTTAAGTGATTTTACATTATCAATAGTGTTTGTTCAAACGCTTGAGAACACTCTGACAAGCGGACAGTCTACCTACATCCGGAGAAATAATTGCTGAGATGTTACCCACAGTGTGAGCTGAGTATCAAATAGGAACACCTTGACTAGGGTTCAATGTTACCACTGGGTCAATGTTACCGTAAATCACTCCTGGTATCCCAGCGGTACACATTGATTACACATGTGAATGTAACAATTGGCTTGTATAGATCACAGCGGTCGATATTTCGACAGCGTGCCCAAATTGGAGTTGACTGCTAAATTAGAGGCAGTCGGTAAATACAATTCCCAATGTCAGCGCGAACCCCCACGTGCTATCGTGACAATGATGGATGATTATCTGAGGGCTGCTGAAATATCCGTGTAGAGGTTTATGAGAGAGAGGTTACAAGTTCGAATCTCGTCTTTACATCCACGCCAATAATTCTGCCTACGCAAACAGATTGATCTTGAGTAGACACGGAACGTGGATAGATGCAGCAGTGACGACTCTATTGGCAAACAGACAGAAACAGATAAACTCACACTCGGATCTACAGGCTAGTGTGTGAGTGAGTTGTGTTTGACGAAGCTGTGTTCCCGTGCCGCCAGTCACGGCGTCGTCAAGTGGGAGTAAAACAGGAAGCTCTTAGGCGTCAGAAACCCTTACCACTGTGCTAAATACATGCACGGACAAGATGCTACCACGCAGATGCGGATTTCGTACCAGATTTTTGGGGCCCATTGACGCACACACACCACCACCACCACACACACGCCTCCACACCACACACACACACCACCACCACCACACACACACACCACCCTCCACCCCCCGGCAACCACAGTGCGTATGCTTCATAAACGTCTGTGTACCGCTTACACAGCTTGGGTACCTGTGCACTTAAAAGAACCCACGAATCCGTTGGTATATGACCAGATGGTGGCCACATGAATACGTGCAAACACCTAGTTGCGGGTACAGCAACGTGCAGTGAACTTGGACAAAGTACTGTGACTATGTGTCCCAGTCCACCCAGCTGTGAATGGGTACCTCGTTAGGAGGAGAAAGCCACAATAACTCGGTGCGCCTAGTGGCTGCAAGAGTTGTATACCCCCCAGGGAGTCGAGATTGACAATGCGATGTGCCGTTCAGATTGACATCCATGATCGAGGGAAAAAATACCAGCGTTTTGAGCATGCACTAGTTGCCTGGATATGTGCGCTATATAAATATCCTATAATAATAATAAAATAATACAAATAATTTAAAAAAATAATAACAAGATTCAGGAAAAGCATGATAAATATGCGGACCTCGCCTTTGAAATGTCTCGCTTGCATCCCAAGTACACTGTCGTCAGGCTTCCCATTGTTCTCGGTTCCTTTGGTTTGGTACCTCCTGATCTCTTGGCGCAGATCAGGAGAGTGCCCGGGTTCTCCGCCGGGAGTACAGCCCTTCTGACACTCTGGGTAATGCAGAAGGCTGCAGTGTTGGGGAGTCTACATATTGTCCGGAAAGCTCTTGGTGGGTTCGACTAGGCAGCGTTTCCTGGGAGAAGTCCCATTCGCTGTCTGGGCTGCTTGTAGAGGGGGCAAGGGCCCTAAGCTGATGATGAGCCTTACCAGCCTGACTGTGCCAGGATCACCCGAACCCTCTCTGCTGCATTTTTTCATCTAAATCTGTAAATAAACATAATGAAACAATTTTGCGAATTCTGAATACTGGAATACATGAATGCAATAGTACTTAAACGTACTAAGCTGAATTCAGATATTATTTCGCCCTCATCAATATGCATAACAACCGGTTCCCATCTCAGCACTATTAGGATATGAGGCCCCAGCAGACAGTATATGCAGCGACACTATCGCCACCTATTCGAGGTTCTAAGTATCTGACGCTGAAGCACAGAGACACGTCACTTTGTTAATATATGTTTCCCTCATGAGAAGGGAACGCTAAAGGGGACTTCTGAGTTGGCATGAGTATATGATACCTCAAGATCATTTCAAAGTATGTCAGGCGAATTATGATTACATGATAATGTCACCCAGACACAATGTACCGACACCGAGCAGACCTGCCCTTGTTGAAGCCTCTTAATGCACAGCACGTGCAGGGCAACAAAAAGTAGCAGCGTGTAAGGTGCTTCTGTATGACGCGACCGGGAGTGGAATGACACACATTCCGCTCCCATCACAGCCGCCACATAAACCCTTCCAAATATTGGTAAGGAATATATCAGGAGAGTTGAAACACATTTTTTGTTTGGCCATTCTTGCCAACTGTCTGGTTACTATGTATTTACAGAATCAGCATTTGGAGTCAGAGCGAGGAAGACAAACAGTGAACATGGCATGGACGACAGCTGTGATGCCTGGGACAGGTTTTCTTGTCATTTTGAGCAAATCTCCTGCTGAGAGATCGTCTGCTTGTAGATGCCTGCAGCGTTTCCGTCGGGATGTGACCATCTTGACATGGAGTAGGAGATGCGTCGAAGACCATTACATGCTGCAAGTCCTGACGTATACGGTACGTTTTTCGCTATGTTTAATGGTTTCTGTCCCAAGGCAGTGATCCAACGCCATGTCAACCACTTCTATGTATGATTGGACGCAACGACAGATCGGGTTATATCTACTTTGCCGGTCACACTCGCAATACATCGATGCCAACCAGTTGACATCGTTTCTGTTGAGCACAAGGGATAGTTTTGATGAAAGCAAAAACTTTGAATAAAACCTAACTTTTTCATTTATCTCGAACAAAACTAGTTTCATGAGATACGTGGAAATCCATTCGATCATTACTCATAACTAAAATCAGAAGTTATAACTAGTTATGTTCGACAATATATCTAGTTGTGTCAATCATTATGCCCATTTATATCAGATAATGTATCCAGTTATGTCAAACAATATATCTTGTTATGTCAGGCAATATGTCAGGCAATATATCTTGTTGTGTCAGACAATATATCTAGTAATGCCAGACAATATATCTAGAAATGTCAGACAATATATCTAGTTATGTCAGGCAATATGTCTAGTTATATCCATAGAGGACGAGGGGCGGTCGGGTAGCCTAGTGGTTAAAAGCATTGGCTCGGCACGACGAAGACCCAGGTTCGAATCCCCACATGGGTACAATGTGTGAAGCCCATTTCTGGTGTCCCCCTCCGTGATATTGCTGGAATATTGCTAAAAGCGGCGTAAAACCAAACTCAGTCAGTGAGTCAGTCAGCCTAGAGGACGAGGCGTTTGCGTAACATTTATAACCGACCTTTAGCATTTATTTTTTGGGGCTCTAAATGAAGGAAATAAGACAATATAATCAACACATTCTACTTCATTGCCTACAGACTAGAATTACATTTCAGTATATTAGTTTACAACATCGGTTTTCAGCTTTCGTCATTAATCAGGTGGAGTAAGGAAGGGCTCTGAATGGATCAGACAAACTGCTTCCATGTTTACAGCATAATTCATCATGTTCAACAGATAATTCGTCTGTAAACATAGAACAGCAAACATAAAAATATAACCAATATTTACTATTTGTAAGGACTTGTATCAAATCGTTTGCAAGGACTGGGTGCGCACAAATTCGTATATATCGTTCACAAAACCTTTAATGCAAGTGAGATGTTTTATTCCCAAATTATCTTGAATATAAGTTTGAGAATACTTCTCATGTCAAAGTCAAGTCAAAGATATCTTATTGTTTGAAAGTCCATCATATACAAGTTTACATAATTATGGTATGAAGAAGGGGAAAAAACAACAATATATTTCTGTCATTTAGAAAATAAGAATTATGTCAGCAAATCAATAAATATAATTATTACAGATAAAAATGAAGAAATTACTGATTGCGGTGCAATCTTAAATGAACTAAAAGAGTTTTATAAGAAGTACGAAAATGATGCTTTTTTAGAAAATGTGATAACTCCAAGGTTGAGTCACCAACTGAGAGACAAATTTAAGGTCAAGATTTTCAGATTTATCAAAGATGATTAAAAAGAAATAAGATGTCGCTTACCATGAAGAGAGGAGTTATCACTTGTATTCCTGAAGCTAATAACAATAGGACCTTATTGAAGAACTGGCGACCAATTACTTTATTAAATGCTCTGTATAGATTAATAAGGGCATGTATCTCAAATCGGTTAAAAACTACCCTTGATTCTCTGATACAGAATAACCAGACTGGATGTATACCTGGCAGAACATTAAGAGAAAACACAAGGTTATTATTTGATATTATGTTTAAAACTAAGAAAAGAGACATGTCAGGTTAACTCATTTGATTAGTTTCGAAAAAGCATGAGACACAGTTTTCCAAAGATTTTATCAATTCTGTCCTAGTAAAATTTGGTTTTGGCCCTAAGATTATACGTTGGATTAATGTCTTAACTTATGACACATCTTCATGTGCTATTCAGAATGGACATATCTCTGATTTCTTCCCAAGTCAACGGGGCTGTAGGCAAGGGGATCCCATATCTCCACATCTGTTTCTGTTTGTTGCTGAAATCCTTGGATGGACAACATGAAACTATCAAGGGTATTGTAATTGATGATCAGGAATACAAATGAGGTCAATATGCAGATGACAGTGAAATATTTTTGGATGGCTCAGATGAAAACTTGTGTTCTGCTATAGAGACACATTACAATATGTCAGGACTAAAGATAAACATAGATAAGACTAAAGCAATCTGGATTGGCTCAAAAGCTGGTAGCAGAGATATACTTTGTCAAGATTTGAATATAGAATGGCAACGAAAACAAAGTGAAGTATTAGGAATTAAATTTGATTTGAATAATTCATGGGTTATTAACAAAGGAAAGACTGGAAGAAATTAATAGATTACTGGCAACTTGGAGAAAAAAACATTTGACTTTGATAGGGAAAATTGCTGTTATTAAGACATTGGCTCTTTCAAAATTAGTTCATATTTTTAACACCTTACCTAACCCTCCTGAACATTTAATCACCGCGCTTGAGAGAATATTTTTTAGATTCACCTTGAATGACAAAAGTGACAACATCAAACTGAGCACTTTAAAAAAAGTACAAATTGGGGGGTCTGCGCATGATTGATATTAAGACCTTTGTTACCGCCATGAAATTATCTAAACTCAAACTATATCTAAAAAAACAAACAAATCCCGGTAACCCATGCAACTTTCCTTTTAAGGATATGCTAAAATATTGAGCAAATTTTCAGAATATAGTTGCTGTTGATAATCCTTTTGGAAAGATGTTTTAAAAGCATGGAAATTATATTGCATCAAAAAATACTATAGAAGCAGAAAACATTTATGAAATCTTATCCCAACCTTTATAGCTGAGTAATATTAATTCCAAAAGTCAAATCACATTATTAAACCCTGGGCTAAAGATGGAATCTTGACAATCAAAGATCTTTGTGATGAACATGGGTTTATATCATTTGATCATTTGAAGCTTAAGTTTGATATAAGAGGTACACTCTTAGATCTTGGATATGTTATAAATATTTTACCTGAATCTTGGAAAAAGACTATAAAGGAATATAGATATATAAAAACATCAATGACCTCACAATAAATTCACTCCAAAAGGATTTCATATCCGCAAGAAAAGATTCAAGATTATTCTATGATAAATTGTTATCTGAAAATGTTAAACCTCACATGTGCCAAAAATAGGAAACATTATTTGATAGTATTGGTTGTGATTGGCTTTATGATTTTTTATATTTGCAGAAAGAATTTAAGAGATGTGAAACTGTTAGATTTTCAATATAAATTTCTGCACGGAATTTCTTATACCAAAAAAGAACTTTCTATAATGAATCTTGTTGACAATACAATATGTAATGTTTGCATATTGGGAATGTGATGAAACCAAAACTTTCTACGAAACGTATCCAGGCACTTAATTTGTCAAAAACTTTGATCTGGTTTGGTATTTTAGGTATAAGGACCCATTAATGAATCACATAATCTTATGTGCTAAGAGGTATATTCACACTTGCTCTTTGAAAGAAAACAATTCCAAAATTTGATAATTACTTAAGAATATTGAAAGACATATTCACCACTGAAAAAATCATTTCCAGAAGAAATAATAACGTTGAAAGCTTTTAGCCAAATGGTTTCCACTCATACCAGAATTAATCC